AAAAAAAAAAAAAAAAAAAGCAAAACATCCCATGTTGGATCACAAGTTTATTGTTATTACTAGTAGTTTCCTGAGTCAGTCCCCAAGCAGCAAAAAAGAAGATACAATTCTGTGGTTCAAAAACATGTAACCAGCCATCAAAATAAAAAAAATATGAAAAATTGTGTGAGGTCTGGATTACTGCTCTGTGGGTCCTGGAGGTGGTTAAGAAGTGGGATTACTTAAATCTAAGTGAATCAGGAAAGAAAACAGAAAAATAAATAAAAAGAAGACAAAAAATAAATTAAGAAATGATCCAGGCTTCTACGATCAGACTGATGCAACTTACTTCTTGCCAGGTACAACTTTTATGTAGCTGCTTTCAGTTGTGCGATTTACAAACTGGACACAAGTCAATGTATTGAACTCCTGCATGGCTTCAACAATCCAAGCTCTCTCTGTCACAGCTGGGAAGCAAAGGGGGAAATAAATCAATGGAATCTCATTTAATATGTTCTATGTAGCATGCTGGGAATGAATCCATTCCAGTAAATCTTTCCACTTCTGTCACACAAGTAAAACTGAAAAAAGTGCAGAGGCTTAAGGAATATTTAAATTGACTTGACTTTCAAAGGTAGCAATTATAATTATCCTTAGTCTTGAAGTATATTACCATGCTTTATAAGAGCCCTGTGTAGTCAGTGGGAGAAAGGAAGGTTAGTACTATTATTTTTGATAGAAAGATATAGAAACTGAAACAGAGGTTAAGGCCAAAATAGTAACACTTGTCTAAAATTAGACACCTGACTCTATATGTAGGTATTTAAATAGAAAAGGTGTTACATTTTTCTGAAACACTAGGTGTTCAGCACACTTGAAGCTTAGACCATTTTTATTCAATGGCCTAAATATGGATTTGAGTACTTAATTATGGTTGTAGGCCTATGTTGGGCCTCTTAATTAAAAGCCATCTAGCAAAATTTGTCCTTTAACAGTATTGTGTCACTCCTTTCCCCGTCTTTAAAATCAGGATGAAAAATCCTTAACTAACTATATTGACATCAATATTTTAGTCCAGCAATGTTCCCTCTTGCTGCAAAGAAGTGTCTTGCAGGTCCAGGGATTTGCAGGTAGGAAGTGGGGCTGGACTGTTGTACAGCTCAAGGCAATGCATATTACCTGTCTTCTCCGACCCCAAATGGCACCAGAAAGATTCCCCGGAACTTTTATCCCTGACCTAGGGCTGCATTACGTTTCCATACTACTTCCCTTTGAGGCAAGGATCACTTTTACAAATGAGCCCAAAGGAGGTCACTGATGGGTGAAGTCCTGGCAGCACTGCTCCAGTAGGACCACACTGTCAGGACAAGCACATAATGTTAGAGGCACAGAACTCGGCTAGAGACAAAGCTTCTATGAAACTGTCCCAGATTAAGGCACCAGACCTATAACATGGTTCATAAATTAACTGACTGATCTCAGTAAAACAATCAAGGAAGAAACCTCTCTTGGAAAAAACCTCAAGAAGATTTCTCCTGCATCCTTCTCTTTTGTAGTTTCCCAAGGGAGAGAATAATCAGGTCCTACTGTTTTTAAGGCTCTTTGAGATCTTTTTACGAAAACTAGTGAGTCCAAACTATTTATTCTAACAACTAATCAAGAGTAATAATCAATATTGATAAAACTGTATTCACTGAGGGAACAGAACATGCATTTTGTCTGTTCTGTAACTGTTAAATATCAAGAAATGAATACTAGTGTGTACGACTGTGACGGGGTCCATCCCCTAGCCTGTCTAATGTAGGCCTGGCCCTCTGTCTCTGGGCTACCCCACCCACCTTTCTTTCCTGCCCTGCCTTGATAGAACAATAATTATGATGTTACTCAGGTGGGAGGCTGCCCATTTACTACTCTGATGCTAGGGGTCGCTATCCACCGCTCCAAACCTCCCCTACATGGTGGCCCATGCCTCGCAGATGGTATGTAAATGTTGACCTGCGCTCTAGGGCACTAGGTCTGCTCACTCCCTGTCACTGGAACCCCTGGCATTGCACTGCCCGGTACTGGGGTCTGCCTACTCCCTGTTGCTGTGCCTCCTGGCACTGGGGGCTGATCACGCCCTGTCACTGTGCCCCCTGGTGCTGGGGACTTATCACCCCCTGTTGTTGTGCCCCCTGGCACTGGAGCTTTGCACAGTAGTATGCCCCAATGAGACCTCCTCCTCCCCCAATAGCCTCAGCCTGGGCCACCAGATAAAATAACAACATAAACATGAGCCCCTAGGTTATAATGTAAGTCCTACAAGCCACATGTGCCTATTATCGAATTGAGAGGTCATGGTTAGTCTGAGGGTTTGAGGCTGCCTGGAACATGTATCTGGGTTATAAATCCAATGCCAACTTGGAGCAGACTCCCAGCTGGCTAGGCTGGCTGGATGCAATTCATGCCTGTGGTCAGCATCTACACATGCATTACAGGCCAGTAAATTACCCCACCATAAGATAGTACTGCCTCTGGCAGTGCTATCTTACAGCAGAGTTAATTAGTTTACTGAACCCTGTCATGGAGTGGGGCCTACGAGCGGCCGCGATCCCGCTGGGTCCCCCTGCCGTGCCAATTAGGAGATACAGCACCCTCTTATTCTCGCCCGCCACATCTTTGATCTCATATAGTCTTATATGGGAGGCTGCCTTTTATCTCCTATGATCTTAGGGTGACTTGGTGCACCCCAGCCTTATGGGCTATGCGTGCCTCCTACCTCCCCTTTAGCACGCCCCAAGCCTCGCAGCTGTTCCTGACGTTCTTGTGTCTCCAATCTTCCGCTAGCCCTCCCCGGGCTTCACTCTTACTGGCTGGCCCCCCCAGGGGCCTAGGCCACACACTTCCCATGCTCTTGCCCCTCTTGCCCCTCACTGGGGCCTTTGTCTGCGCTACTCGTGCCCATGGCTTTCTCTTAGCCGGTCCTGTGCTCTCGCGCCCATGGCTCTCCCGGAGCCTGCTTCCATCCACTCGCGCCCGTGGCTCCCGCCGAGCCTGCCTCCGCGCTGCTCGCGCCCGTGGCTCCCGCC